CAAGAGGGGACATGGACCTGGTATGGGGCAGATGCAGGAAGTCAGCTGAATGTGGCAGTTAGCATGAGTCACGACTAGTATAACAGGTGACGGATGAGGGCAAATGGCTTGGGACAAAGTGGTTCGTGTATATGCACTGAGAAACGTTTGATGGTGCATGATGCATGTGACTAGCTAGTTGGGATGAACAAGGTTGTTCCTACCCATGTGTATATGTGAGATAAGTCTTTTTCTCCTAAATGGTATATTTTTGAAGGTGGAGATCGTGATATATATCTTTTTCACCTAAAGGGCCTATTCGCGAAGGTAGAGATTTGTTCAGTTATCTTTTTTCTCCTAAAGAGCATATTCACCAAGGTGGAGATTGTTGAGTTTGTCTCATACCAGAGTGAAACAGGTAGACCCATTGTACACGATTAGATGCCTATAAATATATTGGTTGTATTCTAGAGGGTTGTATCACCACCATCACCATCACTATGAACAAAAGAATACTTTCACTCTCGTAGCTGTAAGCACCGAACCACGTAAATCTTGTCTTATTTACCTTTTTCTGCAATTATTATTGTTTCTTATTTTTGTTAATTTCAACACATAACAAGTTTGGAACAACCCAGTTTGTCCGAAGAAAGCAAGATGTTGATATTGAAGTTTTCTGCATGAGTTTTGGTGTATCTTATGTTGTTGATTTTTTGTTTTTTTTTTTTGTTTTTTTTTTTTTTTTTTTTTTTTGGAGTAGAACTAGTGTTATATATTTATCCATACTGGAGAAACACATGGTTTCAGCTGATTGAGGCTATTGTACATATGTGGTTTTTCTAAGGCAAAAACTAAATACTCATACACTTTTTAATGTGATCAAATGTATTGTGAAGTGTAATAATATGGAGAGTTAGTTAATCATCCATCCATTAAGGAAAATGCAATTATGTTATTTTCAAGAACTGGGATCTGTTTTGTACTGTCCTTATTTTTCATTTTCCAATATTTCTAGTTTTTATTTTTCAATAATAGATTTTTTTTTTATTTTTTTTCAATAATAGAAAATTAAAAACCAATGTTCATGATGAACAACTATTTTTGAATTTACATTTTCACTCAGAAAACATAAAATACATTCATCAACAATTATCTCCCAAATATACATATTAAAACGTACGACATGTTTTATATTTTTATTGATTTGTCTAATTAATATTAATCATTTTAGATTAGAGTTATTTTCAATAATTTGTCAAAATTAGTTTAATTTAATTTAACACGAGTTTGTTTTGTCAAATATAATAATTAAAATACATTTACTACGTACAAAATCTAGATCAGACATGATATGATTTAACCATAATTAATAATCAGGAGCAAAACACATTGATTTGATGAAGATTGATGAAGATCCAACATATCTTTTATCTCTATTAGTGTTTGTCTCGGGTAAGTAAAAGTCTAGGAAGGAGGAGAGGAAAAGAGAGGGGAGGGGGAGGGGGTTTATTTGACTTTTTAAACAAAAAGAAAAGATTTAAGAGATTGAAGCACGGTGAAATGCGCTTTAGCTTGCATGCATTGAAATAGTTTGTAATGTATTTGAAAATGTGAGTGTATGTGAATTTAGCTCAATAAAAATTAAATAGAGTAAGGGATGGATCAGAGAAATTGAGTTGATGTTAGTTTTATAGTGATTCGGAAAAAACAATTTAAAAAAAAAAAACAGAAAAAAAAAAAAAAAAACAAACTTACTCAAACTTGCCACGTTAAGAATTGACAAGTTTATAAGTTTATTATTAAAAAGCTTTTGACAATTAATTAATTACAAAATATGTCACGTTATTAAATAAAATAATTGACTCATTTAATAGCTAGGTTAACAACAGTTAATTGCTAAGTTAGCAGTAAAACGAATGAGACCACATGCTAATCAACCCCAGGCCACTAGCATAAGAAGACTTGAGGCCCGGTTTGGTAAAAAATTTACTTATAAGTCAATTTTGGCTTATTTGACTACTATTAATTATTTGATTTAGTTAAAATAACAATATAAATGTTTGGTTAATTAGCTTTTTGTAATTTTAAAAGGCTAAAATTCAAAAAGCTACTCTAAGCAACTTTTTCAATTAGCTTTTTGAGAAAAGAAATTATATCAAACAGCTATCAACTAACAGCTAACTTGCCAAACACTCTTCTACAATTAGCTAATGTTATGAACTATTTATACCCTCAAATTAACACAATCAGCTAACAGCTAACAGCTAACAGCCATTTTACCAAACAGGGAATAAATTATTAGCTTCAAACCACTTGCCAGCATCGTTTTTCCAAGTCAAGCTTGACTTAGAAATGAAAATGCCACTCTGAGATTGAGCAATTTAATTAATCGAATTCTTTTCAATCACTTTAACTTTTTATTTACTTCCAACTCAATAACCGTGTGGAAGAAGATAAAAGCGTTGGACATATATGCTTGACTTCATCGTTGGATGATATGAAGCCCAGTGCATGGCATGATACATATCAAACCATTTGCATGGTTTTCTTATCCCAAGTCAAGCTTGACTTCGAGAGGATGAGCATGCCAATTCCAAATAAAAAAAAAAAAAAAAAAGTTCTACTCAATCAATCAATGCATGTCCTTTTCACCTTAATTTTCAATTTGAGTTTTAAATCAAAAAGATGTAACACTAAAACAATTTGAGTTATGGAAACAAAAATTAATTTGAATTGATCACTTAGTAATGTCAATCTTGGAAAGCTTGACCTAGATACATGCATAGAACTTATCACGAAGAATCTCAATTTGTTAATATCAGTCTGTGACCGTACCAAACATTGTAATATGACTTAGAATACATTATAGTTGGGAAATGGTGATCGTTGGCCGCCATGCATTTATGATATTACTCCGTCTTAAATCATATTTATCCATTGTACATCTTAGTAAATTGGTTGATCTTATTATAAAGTAATCAAACAAGACAATTATGCGATTATCTGATATTTATGTATAAATTCTTAGTGTACATATACACAATTTTGGTTGCAATATGGAATCACAGTTTTGTTTAAATTAATTTTTTTTTTGAATAATGTCACATATAGGTTTTTATTTTTCCTTTTACCATCGTAATTTAACTTCTTCTTCTATGTCCTTTTCAGTTTTCACCATCATTTTCTATTGATATTTTAACCAATAAGATATTGCTTCCAGAGCGCTATTTGTGACCATAGAGTTAGTTTGAGCAACAAAGCAAAAATCAAATTGAATTTGTCATCTATTAATGTCTACGTTCAAAGTGTGAACATTGGAAAGTAATATTCTATGCACATGAAAGAAAAACAGGTACTTACTAAATTGAGTTCGCAATTGAGTTAGTCGATCTAAGTGAAGCAACAATAGTTAATGATATGTGTATTATGGAGAAAATTATGCCACAATAAATAGCAATGTTTTACCCACAAGAAGCGAAAATGGGTGGTTACTAAATTGGAAGTCTTAATTGAATTCTTCTGACCTCTATTTATTTTGTAAAATTTCATTAATATTTAATGTTAATAAATTTTGATGAAATTTGACAATGACCTTGTGGTCTAGTGGCAATTTAGACCTGGCAATTCGTATATACGGGTCCGTTAACGGGTCGACATGATAATGACACGAACATGATAAGGCTAAACACGGACATGACACGTTATGGTTAACGGCTTCAAATTTTTAACACGAACACGATTTGTTAACGGGTTGACAAGATAGACACGTTTTGTTAACCGATTATTTCAAGTCGTGTCGACACGAAACCCGTTTAAACCCGCTATTTCTATAAATATATTTTTAAAAAAAAACTAAAATTTAAAGTTAAGTTATATAAACAAAAAAACAAAACCTACAATTCAAAGATTTCAATCCATCAAATAAACTAAAAAAAATATTCAATTTATAACATTCATAAAATGATTAAATATCATCCAAAAAGCATATATAATTAAAGGAGTACGTACTAGTTTTTAGAATAAAATTAAACACAAAATAAATACAAATTTCAAATTGTTAACCATCAACAATTGGTGTAGGATCTTGGTCTAATGTAGTAAATTGATCCTTAGTCATGTTCATAATATATTTTGTAATCTCATTCATGACAATGGTTCTTACCTAAATGACAATGATTCTTAGCAGGTTATAAACATGTTTGTGTAAACGGATTCGTGTTAACGGGCTAACACGATAATATTAACGGGTTAAACGGGTTCTTAATAGGTTAACGGGTTGACCCGTTAAGACACGAAACATAACGGGTTCTTAATGGGTCAACCCGTTAACGACCCGGGACACGTTAAGGCTAAACACTAACCCGTTATTTTTGTATCCGGTTTCGTGTCGTGTTAACCGGTCGTGTCCATAATTGCCAGGTTTAAGTGGCACAAAGTGGTTTTCTATATGAGAGGTCATGGATTTGAACTCCAGTGGAGAAAATATTGTCTTTTTGTGCTTCAATACGTTGAAAAAGTAACTATGAACAAATAATATATTGCAACAGAGTCACTAGGACTCAAATTTTGATGAGGAAGGGAAAGGAGAGGGGAGGGGGGAGGGGGTTTATTTGACTTTTTAAACAAAAAGGTTTAAGAGATTGAAGCACGGTGAAATGCGCTTTAGCTTCCATTGAAATAGTTTGTAATGTATTTGAAAATGTGAGTGTATGTGAATTTAGCTCAATAAAAATTAAATAGAGTAAGGGATGGATCGGAGAAATTTAGTTGATGTTAGTTTTATAGTGATTTATCAAATGATATCATGTGAGATGAGAGCTCCAATCATGATCAAGAAGGTCCTCAACCGTCTCTGTTACAACGGCTTTTGGCGCCATCTTTCTGTTTGCTTGCTTCATCTAACTGCCAATATATTAGCTTCATTGTATAGGCTTCACAGTTAAGCAAGCTCTCTAATGTACTGAAAACACTATCTCTCTCAATGCAAAAGTTTTGTTCTTCACCGTAACTCTGCCTCCAACATGGTATCAGAGCCATGGAAGATCAGTTACGCCGCCGCTGTTTCCGGCACCGGTGAGACCGGCCAGCCGTCTCGCACACCGGCGATGAATCAGCCTCCGATTCAAGCAACGCCGCAAACTTCCATGCCTCAAGTCGTTCCGCAAAGGAACGCAACTGAAGATATAGAGAATCCACTGCATCTCAGCACTAACGAAAATCCAAACAACATATTGGGGAGTCCTCCTCTCACAGGGGGTTCCAATTATGGCTTGTGGAGCATTTCAATGCAGGTTGCGTTGGAAGTGAAAAACAAATGGTCTCTTGTCGATGGAAGCATCGAGAAACCGGCTAGAAGCCAGGGACACTACGCATCTTGGAGAAGATGCAATCTTATGATCAAGTCATGGATCCTCAAGGCGGTGCATCCGTCGATTGCTCAAAGCATAATATATATGGATGACGCAGAGGAAGTCTGGAACGATTTGAAGAGGAGATTCTCGCAGCGCGATCCTCATCGCATATCGACTTTGTAGTGCGAAATCTATGGATTGAGACAAGGAAGCTTGTCGATCAATGACTATTACACGAAGTGCAGATCTCTGTGGGAGGAAATGAACGAGATGAGACCTCTCCCAATCTGCAAATGCAATCCTCATTGCTCATGCTCAGGTGCTCTAATCAATGAAGTTCGAAAGGATCGTGAAATAGATCAAATAATCCGTTTCTTGCAGGGATTAAACGATGATTACAATCCTTTGAAGTCCAGCGTCTTGGTTCTGGATCCTCTGCCCGAGATTCACAAAGTGTATGTGATGGCAGAGAAGTTTGAAAGGCAACTCAACATCACCAATCTAAGCATGGAAACCAGCCATGCCAACTCCATACAGCATGGTCAGACTTCATCAGAGGAAGTTGTTGCAGCAGTGAATCAATACTATGGTAAGAGAACTGGCGGAAATAAGAATGTGAAATGCACATATTGTGGTATGACTGGCCACACCGTCGAGAAATGCTACAAAAAGCACGGCTATCCACCGGGATGGGTGCCGGGCTACAAATCGAAGGGAAAACAATCCACCATGATTGCTGCCAATACTGGTTCTAAATCTGAAAGCAGTTCGACAGTTGAGCAAATGCAGAAATTGATTTCCCTCTTGCAATCTCAAATGGGGCAAAATCATCCTCCCTCGACTGCAGCTGTATCTCTTGTCCCAAAGTTCAACCATCAAGGACCGCAAAATACAGGCAAGTCTCACATTGCTTCCCATATCATTAATTTTGTTAATCTTGGCTCAACTACTTGGATTTTAGATTCGGGAGCAACTGATTATATAGTATGCTCTCATGATTTTTTTGATGTGTGACATATTGTTGAGGGAGCAAGGGTGAATCTACCCAATGGAGAAACAGTCACAGTGCAGCACATGGGAGATATCAGATTAGGAGATGAATTATGGCTGCGGAATGCCCTGCACATTCCCCAGTTTAAGTTCAACATTGTCTCAGTAAGCAAACTTCTCAAAGATTCATCTCACACTTTGGTCTTTGATTCTGGACAGTGCCTGATTCAGAACCTTAGGAGAACAACTGGTTTTGCTAAGGAGGAAAGGGGTCTATATCTGCTGCTTCAACCACCACAGATCAGCTCTTATAACAAGTCTGCTATGCAATGTAACAGTGTCAACATTGAGTTGTGGCACAAACGCTTGGGGTATTTTCCCTTTAATAAAATACATCTTGTTTGTGATGTTCCTAATTCCCAGTTGAAGATGAATCCCTGTGATATATGCCACTACGCTAAACAAAAGAGACTACCATTTCCCCTCAGCAAAACTACATCAAAAGCTTGTTTCGATCTAATCCACGTTGATATTTGGGGACCCTTTCCAGTTAAATCTGTGGGAGGAGAGAGATATTTCTTAACCATAGTCGATGACTATTCGAGGTATACATGGATCCACCTCATGACTAATAAATCTGAAACACGGGAAAAGTTGAAGAACTTTCACAAACAGATTCAAGTCCACCATGGTCTAGCTATTAAAACCATTCGTAGTGATAATGGTATGGAATTCAACATGGTAGACTTCTTTGCTGAAAATGGCATGATCCATCAAAAGTCATGCGTGTACACTCCCCAACAAAACGCAGTAGTTGAACGGAAACACCAACATGTCATGAGTGTGGCAAGAGCTCTTAGATTTCAGGCAAATTTTCCTCTTGAATTTTGGGGACTATGTGTGATGTATGCTACATTCATCATCAATCGACTCCCGTCTTCTGTAACTGACTGGATTAGTCCATATCAGAAATTGTATGGAGAGAAGCCCAACCTTGAGAATTTGAAGGTATTCAGATGTTTGTGTTATGCAGCCACCTCATCCAACTCAAGACATAAAATGGCTCCACGTAGTAGACGATGCATCTTCGTGGGTATACCTGCAAATGTTAAAGGTTATCTGGTGCATGACATGCAGGATAAATCCATGTTCATATCTAGGGATGTAGTCTTTTACGAAGACCATTTTCCCTTAGCTGATCAGAAAAATAGCAGAAGATACTCAGTTGTTCAAGCCGCCTTTGCCAAATCTGTCCATCAATGAAGATGCAGAGTTCAGACCTCAAATCTGCCGTAATACCAATGAGCACCATCATGAGCCTAATACTGCTACTTATGGCAGTATGGATCAATCTCACAACGAAAGAGGCAACTTCAGCATGGAGAGCACTCCGGATAGCAGACTCAGTGCCCCCTCACATGATCAATTAAATGATTTTAATGAGCCCTCATTTCATGAAGCTATTGATGAAGTCAGTGAGGCAGCAGAACTAGCACCATCTCCTGGTTCCTCAGTTCATCCAAGAAGGTCCACTAGGGCACGAAACATTCCAACAAAGTTGCATGATTATTACTGTGAAGCAACAGTAGCCACCAAGACATCCCCTCACTCAATATCCAAGGTAGTGTCCTATGCCAATCTCTCATTCTCACACAAGGTGCTTTTTATGGCAGTCTCATCTATTAAAGAGCCAAGGAGCTATGGCCAAGCAGTCCTCCATGACTGTTGGAAAAAGGCCATGAGTGATGAAATTACAGCCCTTCAGAACAACAACACATGGGAGTTAACAGAATTGCCGTTTGGAAAGACACCAATTGGGTGCAAGTGGATATTCAAAACTAAGCTTAAAGCGGATGGTACTATAGAAAGGCACAAGGCGAGACTAGTGGCGAAAGGTTACACCCAACAATTTGGTGTGGACTACATCGAGACCTTCTCACTAGTGGCAAGATTAACCACCATTCGCATTTTCTTGGCAGTGGCAATTTCTAAGGGCTGGAATATACACTAAATGGATGTTAATAACGCGTTCCTACATGGTGATCTTAATGAAGAAGTTTACATGGTCTTACCCCCCCGGGTTCCAAAGTGAGAAACCAAGTCAAGTATGCAGGTTATTAAGATCACTTTATGGCCTTAAGCAAGCTAGCCGTCAATGGAATGAGAAGCTCACTGCTGCACTGATCAAAGTTGGCTTTCACCAGTCCAAGTTTGAACCTTCACTGTTTACTAAAGGTGCTCATGATGATTTTGTTGCTTTGCTAGTATATGTTGATGATATAATCATTGCCAATGCCAACATATCAATCATCAACTCTGTAAAACAGTTTCTGGACAGCAGATTTAAAATCAAAGATTTAGGACCTCTTGGTTATTTTTTGGGGATCGAAGCATGCAGAACAAGTGATGGTTTGAACTTATGCCAACGTAAATATGCTCTAGATATTTTGGATGATGCAGGGTTTCTTGAATGTAAGCCAGCAAGCACTCCCATGGCTCAAGGCTTAAAACTCTCACATGATGATGGAGCTCCCTTGACTGATCCTAGCTGTTACAGAAGATTGGTTGGTCGAGTGTTATATCTTACAACCACCCGACCGGATATTGCCTATGCAGTTCAACAACTGAGCCAATTTGTAGATTCTCCCACAGAAAAACATTTGTTGGCTGCACACCGTGTATTAAGGTATATTAAGAGCTCACCAGGGCAAGGCTTGTTCTACCCAGCCAACACTCAACTCCAATTGAAAGTGTTCTCGGACTCTGATTGGGCAGCCTGCAATGAAACAAGGCGATCCATTACTGGATACTGTGTCTTTCTGGGAGATGCACTGGTCTCATGGAAAGCCAAGAAACAGCTGACAGTCTCAAGATCTTCATCCGAAGCCGAATATAGAGCTTTGGCAGTTACGGTCTGCGAAATACAATGGATGACTTATATCCTACAAGATTTAAACATCGGATTTGACAAGCCAGCCACATTGTTTTGTGACAGCAAATCCGCCATAGCCATTGCCGAAAATCACGTCTTCCACGAGCGCACCAAACACATCGACATTGATTGTCATGTTGTCCGAGAAAAGCTACATCAAGGTCTCATTAAACTTCTGCCAGTCTCATCCTCAAACCAGGTTGCGGATGGATTCACCAAGCCCCTGGCTATCCCACTGTTCCGACAGTATGTGTCTAAGCTTGGGATACAAGACTTGTATGCCCCAGCTTACGGGGGGTATCAAATGTATCACGTGAGATGAGAGCTCCAATCATGATCAAGAAGGTCCTCAACCGTCTCTGTTACAACGGTTTTTGGCGCCTTCTTTCTGTTTGCTTGCTTCATCTAACTGCCAATATATTAGCTTCATTGTATAGGCTTCACAGTTAAGCAAGCTCTCTAATGTACTGAAAACACTATCTCTCTCAATGCAAAAGTTCTGTTCTTGTTCTTCACCGTAACTCTGCCTCCAACATGATTCGGAAAAAACAATATTAAACAAAATAAAGAATACAAACTTACTAAAACTTGCCACGTTAAGAATTGACAAGTTTATAAGTTTATTAAAAAGTTTTTGACAATTAAATAATTACAAAATATGTCACGTTATTAAATAAAATAATTGACTCATTTAATAGCTAGGTTAACAACCGTTAATTGCTAAGTTAGCAGTAAAACAAATGAGACCACATGCTAATCAACCCCAGGCCACTAGCACAAGAAGACTTAAATAAATTAGCTTCAAACCACTTGCCAGCATTGTTTTTCCAAGTCAAGCTTGACTTAGAAAATGAAAATGCCACTCTGAGATTGAGCAATTTAATTAATCGAATTCTTTTCAATCACTTTAATTTTTTATTTACTTCCAACTCAATAACCGTGTGGAAGAAGATAAAAGCGTTGGACATATATGCTTGACTTCATCGTTGATATGAAATGAAGCCCAGTGCATGGCATGATACATATCAAACCATTTGCAACGTTTTCTTATCCCAAGTCAAGCTTGACTTCGAGAGGATGAGCATGCTAATTCCAAAAAAAAAAAGAAAAAAGTTCTACTCAATCAATCAATGCATGTCCTTTTCACCTTAATTTTCAATTGAGTTTTAAATCAACAGGATGTTGCTTCCTAAGTGTTATTTGTAACCACTAAAACAATTTGGGTTATGGAAACAAAAATTAATTTGAATTGATCACTTAGGGTGTGTTTAGTTGACAGGTTTAGTTATAAGGAATGGGTATCAAAGTGATTGGTATTGTTTGGTTGATAGGCTTTTAGAACACTACTATGAGTTTCAAATACCCCATTAACTGAAAAATTGATACCCAAATAAAATAAGGGTATCATCCCCTTTCATTCCCTTATTCCTTCCCATCCACTTTGATTAGTGCTTTTAGTTTTTTTGTTTTTTGTTCATATTGGTGTTTGGAATATCTTTATATTAGAATCAATTGTCTTGATTTTGTGTTCTTGTATTTGGAAAATCTTTATTCCCATTATACGATCATACATAACTAAACAACATTATTGATAACCATTCTCATTCCACCCTACCACCAAACATGCAAAATACTTTTACTAAAATTCATTATTATTACCAAGTACGTATTTGATAACCATTCTGATCCCGATTCCCATGTGCAAACCAAACACACCCTTAGTAATGTAAATCTTGGAAAACTTGACCTAGATACATGCATAGAACTTATCACAAACAATCTCAATTTGTTAATATCAGTATGTGACCGTACCAAACATTGTAATATGACTTAGAATAAGTTATAGTTGGGAAATGGTGATCGTTTGCCGCCATGCATCTTTGATATTACTCCGTCTTGAATCATATTTATCCATTGTACATCTTAGTAAATTTGTTGATCTTATTATAAAGTAATCAAAAAAGACAACTATGCTTATGTATAAATTCTTAGTGAACATATATAAACACAATTTTGGTTGCAATATGGAATCACAGTTTTGTTTAAATTAATAATTTTTTTTAATAATCACTACTGGAAATTATGGAATTTCCGACCACCTAAAAGTGATCTTAAATCAAGTCTAAAGTCTTGTTCTGACCACTTTTGGTATCCGGAAAAACCTTTGTTGCTATCTCCGACCACTTTTTAGTATCAACTTGATTTAAGATCACTTTCAGGTGGTCGAATATTCTATAATTTTTAGCAGTGAATGTCACATATAGGTTTTTATTTTTCCTTTTACCATCATAATTTAACTTCTTCTTCTATGTCCTTTTCAGTTTTCACCATCATTTTCTATTGATATTTTAACCAATAAGATATTGCTTCCAGAGCCCTATTTGTGGCCATAGAGATAGTTTGAGCAACAAAAGCAAAAATCAAATTGAATTTGTCATCTATTAATGTCTACGTTCAAAGTGTGAACACTGGAAAGTAATATTCTATGCACATGAAAGAAAAAACAGGTACTTATTAAATTGAGTTCGCAATTGCGTTCGTCGATCTAAGTGAAGCAACAATAGTTAATGATATGTGTATTATGGAGAAAATTATGCTACAATAAACAGCAATGTTTTACCCACAAGAAGCGAAAATGGGTCCTTACTAAATTGGAAGTCTTAATTGAATTCTTCTGACCTCTATTTATTTTGTTAAATTTCATTAATATTTAATGTTAATAAATTTTGCTGAAATTTGCCAATGACCTTGTGGTCTAGTGGCACTAGACCTGACAATTCGTGTATACGAGTCCGTTAACGGGTCGATATGATAACGACACA